AGAAGCCGATGTAAGGAGTTTGACGCCTATTCCAACTAGAAAAAAAAAGAGTTTGGGAAAAAAATTTGCTACCAGATCACATGTTGTGGATAGGCAGCCTCTTAAAAAGAGACCAAGACGCACACCACCTTTTGTCCAGTTGAGGCACACAGCCTTTGTGCCTAGGAAGTCATCCCGAAAGGCTTCGGCAAAGCATGATGAAACAGCCGGTCCTTCTCGGGTGAGATCTACGTGTAAAATGATAAAGACTAAACCCATTCCTAGACCGCAACAACCTTTTGATGGGTTTAGTTCTGAAGAGGCACAGTTGATGTTTGCTAAGATGAAAAACAAGCAAGTATTACCAGATAAGGGGTTCGATAGAAGAAGTATTGAAGAATTCAGTTTTATCCGGGACGTGATCAACAGGCAAGGATGGCAAGTGCTTTGTGAGGTAAAAAACTCTTTCAACTTGTCTTTGATTAGGGAGTTTTACGCAGAAGCTTGCGTGTTTAGCACTACAAAGATTAAACTCCGGGGTGTTCGGGTGAGTATCTTGGCCAAGTCTATTAACAAGCTTTTAGGCCTTTCACCCCCGGTCGAAACTGATTTTGAGATTATGTCTCAATCGGCTTCGCAAGCTAGACATGAGGAAATTGGTAGGGAACTTGGGAAGCCCGGGGCCGGTTGGGATATCCATAGTAACTACATGTTATGGACTTATAGGGCTTCAAACTTAACACCCGATGCTAATGTGTGGATGAACTTCATTAGATATTCTCTCAACCCGACTACTCATGACAGTTCTATTTTGGTTGAGAAATCATTTTATTGTATTGTGCGGTAATGGGCAAGACACTTAATGTGGGGGAAATTATTAAGAAAGCCATCCTTTATTGTTCAAAAAGGAGACACGGGAAACTGTTTTTCCCAGGCTTGATCAACAAGTTGCTTATACAAGCGGGTGTTCCCCAATACACGGATGACCTAGTGATAAAAGAGTGTGAGGAAAAGTGGACCATTGACATGAAGGTCGTTTCTAGACTAAGAGAGAGGGGTGAGAGAGGAAGGGAGCTACCGGGTATGACACAGACTATGGAGGAACTTTTGGCACAAAGTGGTAATATATTATATTACCTGATAGAACAACGGGCTGAGATGGTGGAAAAGTTAGAAGGCATGCAGGCTGAGATATCGGACAGGTTGAAAGCAAGTGAAAGGAAGATGAAAAAGAACTTTGAAAAGTTGAAAGAAGACTTGGAGAATGGGGTTGCGGATAAGGTCAAGAGGATGCAGAAAAAGCTGAATCGGTACAAGACGGAGAGCGTGAGACTGAAGGCAGAGATTGCATCTGCGGCTGCCCGGAGTGCACAGCCTACTCCTTCGGAGTAGGACAGGTTCTACCACCCTACTTTAGCTTTATATTTTATTTTTTTGAGTCGGGAATAGTTTTTATACTTTGTAGTCTTGATTTTTATGCATGATCATTTCTGTTGAAGGTTGTTAACACATGAGATCATAGCCCGAATAATTTTAGTGATTGCTTGTCATTTAATCATGGTACTTTGTTTTTGCTAGAACTAGCAAAATCCTTTTTGGGAAAACACTTTGATCACACTATCACCATTAGGAAATGAGATAGGCCATCTTTTCTATGCTCATATTAGCCACTTGCACCCTTTAAACACCATTTACCCCACAAAACGCCAATGAGGACATTGTCATATTCAAGTTTGGGGGAGGAGTTTACATAAGGACACAAAGTCAATACAAAAGAGCAAAGCTCTAAATTGACTCCTTATCACACAAAGGGTGTTGAAAACACAAAAAAAAGTCCCATAGGGGCTATGTGTTTTATAAAATGTTATGAAAAGGCACAACAAAAGTCCCATAGGGACTATGTGCAAACTCCAAACAAAAGAGGCCAAAGTACCCAAAAATTGAAAAAATTATATGTTGAGTATATAAGAGAAAAAAGGCTATGAGAGAAAAGATAAGCCAATGAGAGAAAAGATAAGCCAATGAAAGAAAACCCTATAAGCCCTATTGATCCAAAAATGGTGATTGTGTTTGAACTTAACGAAGAAAAGAGAATGCTAGCCTATGGTTAACACAAAGAACTTGGTTTTGAGTGACTCTTCTTAGATTTATGAAAAGCTATGAACATCATGATGCTATAACTCTCTTTGGGAAGGCACTTAATGCCTTGATCATGCATTTTTGTTTATATTGAGTCTTTATATTTGTCTTTTGGTTGCTTGGGGACAAGCAACGGTTTAAGTTTGGGGGTGTGATATGTGTTGAGAATTTAACACATAAAGTACTTGTTTTACGTCTTTTTAGGTAGAGTAATTTCTTTTCATTCCCATATTGAATCATTTTTATTTATTTCTTTATACATTTGTTATTATGAAGCTAATTTTGTGGTTGACTTGTTGGTACTCTTGGATGAAGCTAATATAGAATTTTTGTAAAAACAGCAGGATGCTACAGCATTGATGCAGCGTCGATCTGATTCATGCGCAGCTTTTTGGAGGGCTTAATGATTAAGACGCTGACTTTTTGACTAATGGAAGACAACTGTAGGAGCTGATTTTTTGGTTTAAAATCTGATGTTTAGACTTTTTAGGCCATAGTACTTGTTAGTTACTCTTTTGTTGCCATGTAACTAGCTTTTGGAAGCTTAGCCTCCAAGTCTTTTATTTTTGTCTTCTAGTGACCCCTTTTGTGTATAAAAAGAAGGCTTGGGGTGCCTTATTCTATCATCCATTAATCCACCTTTCATCCATTGTATTCCATTTCCATTAGCTAGTATTGTAAACCCTCTCCAATGGTGGTTTTTATTAATCTTTTGAAGTTCTTCATCTTTTCTTCTATAATATTCTCGTCTTTTATTTTACGTTCTTTATTTTACGTTCCTTTACGATTATTGTCATTTACATTCCGTTATTTAATTTCCGCAATTTACATTCTCGTCATTTACATTCCCGTCATTTATTTTCTCGTTATTTACTTTACGCAATTTACGTTTATGTCTTTATTTTACGTAATTTATTTTTTACTTTTCGTTATGAGTAGCTAAGCTTTTATAGCTTGGGTGTGAGATGGAAAGGAGAGATTTTCAAATCGAACGAAAGTAGCTAAGTGTTTTCGTAAACGACGTTCCATTGTTTCATTCGAGTTTTTATAAAACCAAGCACACTTCTTGATGGGTTGATCACTTGAAAGTGTTAAAGTGCGATGGACTTAGAGATAAGCCGTTAATAAGCACGTCAACTTGGATGACATAAGAGGTAGACTTGAGAAAGTTGCCGACAAGGAGACTTGTCATTTATGTTTTTCAAAACTTAGCTCCCGACGGGTTGGTCACTCTTCAAAAGTGTCAAAGTGTGATAGATTCATAGATGAACTATCAAGAACACGCCAACTCGAATGATATGGGAATCAACTCAAGAGAGTGATTTTTAACAAAGAGATTTGTTTATCCATATATTTTGAAAACACCATCGTGTCACTATCCCCGGTCCGAACACCACATAGAGATATGGGTGGAAAGCTATAAGATWGTGCAATGGTGAAGTCCGAGAGGAATGCCTTCAAAATAGATGGTGGAACTTWGTTTCGAAACACTGCTTGCTGTAGCATTCCTATAGCATTGGCTGCTSGAATTTGTGCTTGGGTCTCACCTTAAGTCTTACACCCTTGCTTCTTTTATATATTCTGTATTATGTTTGGATTCACCTTAAAATCAAACAAAAGTCTTCAAAATCGTCATCTGAAATCATCTCTTTCATTGGACTCTAATCTAACTTTGGCTACAATCTCTGTGGACGATAATCCGGTACTTGTACCACTTTATTACTTGGAAAGACGACGTTGGGCCGTATTATATACTTGCTTTGTGTCCCAATTTCATATAGTCTAAAGGTGTGAAATATAACCGACCACTCTTGTAAGAACTGGAGATACATGTTAGGGTTCTCATTACAAATCACTTATGTGTTTGATTGATTTTGTTTCCTTGTGTTATTGAGATGCTTCGATATGTTGAGAGTAGTTACGAGAATAATACAGGTGTATGGCAAGCATGTGGGCTTCCAATATATTTGACATCATATGATTTCATGTTTTATTTGCACTTGATGTTGCACTTTTTGGGGATCACAAATTTACCGTCATAAATAGCTCTTTAAAGAAAAGATTAAGATATTTTTAGTGCTAGTTATTTCATTGGTGAAAACAACCAAGGAAAAATTGCAAGAACATGTAAGAAAATTATGCTGATCCAAAGAACCAAAGACATAAGATCAATATCCAACATCAATATTATTACAAGTATGATTGTTTAAATACAGTTGTAGATGGGCAAATTCAAGAGTTTGGAGAGAGATTTAGAAAGACAAGTTCAAAATTGATTTTCTGTATGACGATATTGAATCCGAATGATTCATATAATGATTTTGACCGATCAAAGTTACTAAAGTTGGGTGAGTTGTATTGGGATGATTTTAGTAGCGCGGAAAAAACGAGTTTTGACCATGAACTTGGCCTCTACATTTCTAATGTGGAAGAAGATAAAAGATTTGCTACCTTGAAAGGTATATATCCAATATAACTAACTTTGTTTTTTGTTACCAAAGAACCATAAATGTAAATAAATATATAATTAACTTTTTTTTCGTGACTCTTCCTTTTTGGTTTTTCAAATTTTTTTTAAAGGAAAGAAAAAGAAAGGGAGAGAAAGGAGAAACATGTTATATTAGAATAAGATGCATCAAGATGAGATGTACCGAGATGCATCGGACTACATCAAACACGATTCATAGGTGGATTTAAAATTAAGATGATCAACAGTCCACATCTTTTCTTACACTTTTAAACTTAACTTTTGTTCTTACACGATCATTCTCCTAAATACGTTTAAGTAATTCAAACCATAAATTTATGTAACCACATAGACCAGGAATATAACTCACTCTAACAAGAATTATAAAGATAATATTAATAAATATAAATATCTTTAAACAATAAAATGAACACAAGGTACTACCTGTAATGCCTAGTATACAAGTCATTATAGCATAAACCTCTTCGGTTTGTATGTATTTTGTGTTCCAAGAAGATTATCAAGTTTGAAAACAAATTTACAAAAATAATGTTGGGATTGCTTATTTGAAACAATTTATGTTTTTCTATAAAACCACTTATCAACTTATTATAAGTCAGAAACGTTTAACTTTTCAAAAACTTTTATTACCGATTTGGTACTGGTATAAATTATTTATGCAAACACTTAAAAATGTTTATTAACAGTGTCACACCGAAATATGAATAAATTGTTTTTATAAACAATCTCAAACAACTCTAAAATAAAATAAAATAAAAATCAGCTTGTTTTGGGCAAGAAGGACTCAGATTCCGATGGCTGTGAACCCATCTGTTGTGTTGCATTCAAAACTGATAAGATCCAGTAAACAATCCCAGCTGTGAAAAGTCCAAAGAACCAGGCATTGTTGTAAATCATTACCAGCAACTCCGGCACCGGTCTCAAGATTCCGATCTTCTGCAAGAACCCTGGAATCACCGGCAAAATCCCAACTACCAGAGCTGCAATTGCCCCCAAATTGTACCCATTAAAGTAAAAGTATTTCCCAAAAGGATTCGAACTGTACAAGTCCTTTACCACCAGATTCCGGCCTTTTATGAGATAATAATCGGCCAAAAGTATCCCAGTGATTGGTCCCATCAATGCTGAATACCCCACAAGCCAAGTGTACACGAAGCTTTCACTTGATTGAAGAAGTCTCCAAGGTTGGAATGCGATTCCAACCAATGCAGTTAATACTGCACCTCGCCGGAAAGTGAACACCGATGGGCTTAGACTCACCAGGGCATTCGCCGGAGCTACAACATTGGCAGCAATATTGGTGGTGATGGTGGCAAGTGTGATTCCAAAGATGGAAAGGATCATGGTTGTTAATCCACCGATTTCACCCAACAATTGAATTGGGTTCGAGATCACACGCCCGAAGATGACTTGAGTCGATGCGGTCACCGCTAACCCAACAAAGGTGAACCCACCCATGAGAATCGGTAGCCCAGCTTGACCCATGATCTGGTCTTTCTGGCTCTTGGCGTAACGTGTGAAATCCGGAATGTTTAGTGCAAGTGTTGCCCAAAAGCTTACGTTTGCAGTCAGTGACGGGAAAAATAGCAACCAGAATTCCGCTGATGAGAGCCGCGAAGACATCGAGAGGATTTGACCGAAACCACCGGCATTCACATAAGCCCAGATGAGTAAACATGAAGTGAGAATTATCAAAATTGGGGCAGAATATTTTTCTAGTTCTCTAATTCCATCCATTCCTTTGATCACAACAAGTAATTGTGCTAACCAAAAGACCATGAAACAAGCAAACTCAATTGGGGAAGTTCCAAGCCACGGAATGGAATTGGAAAAGGTTGAAGTCTTAATAGAATTGGGCAAAAGTAGAAAAATTGCTTCACCACCAATCCATGTCTCAATTCCATACCAGCCACAAGCTACTAATCCTCTTAGTAGAGTTGGAATATGCGCACCATGGATTCCGAAGGCCGATCTGGCTAGGACCGGAAACGGAATCCCGTAACGTGTCCCTGGATGACCCATTAATCCAAGTGCTATAACCGTGATTATGTTAGCCGTAACAACCGTCAATATTCCTTGCCACCAAGCCATTCCAAGATCCACAAGGCTACCAGCAAGGTAATATGTTGGCACACCCACAACCAGACCAACCCACAAACTGGCCATTTCCCAACCAGAATATGTTCTTTTACTCACAGTCGTTGGCGCTAGATCATCGTTGATAAGCTTGGGGTCGGGTTCAAAATCTTCAAACTCTGGAATGGAATTGGGTACAGTGGATGCCATGGGTTGGAAGAAGAGGGTTTTTTTGTGAAGGGAAAAAGGTGTTGTGGTGGTTGGAATTGTATTAAAGGCTTCGGAAAAGGAAAGGTTTATGGAGATGGGTTTTGGGTTTGCCAAGGCCTGATGATGTTGGTAGGGATAAAGATGGGGATGGAAGCTCAAACATTTGGAAATCATGATTCAGAAAGTAAAGATTCAGGAGGACTGGAATGGAATCTGTTTTGGAGTTTGGGGATAGGTTATGTATGGTGGATGTAAATTCCTATGCATCATAGAAAAGACCAAAAAATTTGAAGAGTGTTTGACTAATTACGTTTAACAATAACAGACTTTTAATATATTTTTTTAAATAAAGAGATAAGATTCAAAATTTATAAAAATAATTAAATTTGATTTCTAACAAATTATTTGTTTTGAAGATTTCAGTGTGTATTAAAATATTTTATAATATGTCATCTCAATTCACTTATCAAAAATAATTTAGAAAAAACAATAATAACTTAATTTTAGGGTTGCGTACCGGTAAAAAAAAAGTTAAAGTAAGAAGAATAAGAGATGGATCTACAAATGCATCGAATTAATCCCCGTATCAAACGCAAGTTATGGGTGGATTTAAGATTAAAGGTGATCAAGGGTCCATATCTCTTTTTACGTTTTTCTTTTTAACTGTTTTTCTCACACAATTCTTCGTCTTTAATCTTATTAGTGGAAATAAAATAAAAAAATTCATTTCTCTCTCATTTCATCAAATTTTAGAGGATTCTCTAAATTTGGAATAATCTCTAGTTTTCCTTATTTTAGATAACGATATAGAATACATAATAAAACAAAATAACCAATGAAAGCTTTATTTTCTCTATTTTAAAGAATCTGTTAGAAATGCTCTTAATATTCCTTCCATCCAATTCCAAAAATAAATGTCATCAATAAAAATACATGCACGTATAAGAATGTAATTACTACACTTTTTTTTATTAACAACTAACAAAATATAATATTTTCCACAAAATAGTAGAGAGAAAACTTTCTCAACTTATAATTAAAGGTGGAAGGAAAACTAAATATGTAATTTTAAAATTGAACACTTATTTTAAAATAAATTAAAATATAAATTTAGACAGTTATGGGCCGTTTACCAAATGCTTACTTGGATAAGCGTTTATCAAGTTATATTACCTTACCGGATGAATATGGTAAGGATCAAAAACCTTACCCGATAAGAACGAGGCAAAGACTAAGAGTCTTACCCGGTAAGTGAGGGCAATGACTCTTATCACGATCAGCTCTTACCGGGTAAATTGTTGCATAGAAAGCCGTTCATGTTGACTAAAATCTTACTCGGTAAGTAAACAATAGTATTAAATTTCACTGATAAGTACTTACCGAGTAAGTGTTTGATAAACCACCCCTCATTTTCGAATTAATTATAAGAGGTAACATAAGATTTTGTATTTGCTCTCTATATATAGTTTATTAGTTCAAGGTCTTTTATAGCTATTAAAGAATTTGTTGATTGTTAATTTCAAGACATTATTACATTAATCAACATTTATGTAAGCTAAAGCGAACATCCCATGTTTTCTTAAATACTATATGATATATTTAAATCAACTAGTTTATTGTTTTTTTGTATGTTTCAAACAAATATTATCCGAAAGATGTAAAATGTCCAAGTTAAAAATACATGTTTGACACAAATATTATACGTTGTCTTTTAGTAAGTACAAGATAGACCAAAACAGGGGTAATCATTTGTACATAATCTAAAGGTTACATACCTTGCAAACTGTAACAACCCAGAATCACATTTTCATATAAACATATATTTCCATATAGCACAGTTAGTCTCACTATTTACAAAAACTACATTACAATGTAGCTACCAAAATTTTTCACAAAAACTCTATACAAACTTGAATCTATAACAAGTATTTAATTACAATAAATAACATGTTATCTTCTACATCCCCGTGTAAGCATATAAAACTCCTCACAGTTTCCCTTTCCCCTTGTCCTTTGATTGAGCCTTTGTAATGCACTTTTTCAAAACACCAAAATGAGGGTAAGACCTTGAGATCTAGTGAGAAATATTTTTGTTGTCTATTACAGGGTGACTAATCACTAAATCACATTTATAAACTCATATTTGTGTTAATGACAAATATACAACATTTTGATTAACAAACCTCTTTTGTAGCATCTAAAAGATGAGACATCACCAATTTATCGCATCAAATAACTCAATAACTCATTTTACACATTCTGATATAGCTTATTGCATCATATAGTTGAAATTGTAATTTCCTCACATCACATGGGTGAAACAATACCATCTCCTCGCAACACACTGGTGCGAGGATCTCATCTCATCGCATCACACTGGTGCGACAAACACAACTTGTTGCATCATACTTGTGCAATAAGTTAACTTTTCGCATCACAACGATGCGACAAATATACTCCTCGCATCACAAGGATGCGATAACCATTTTTCATCGCATCAATAGGATGCAATAACTTTAAGTCATCGCATCACATAGGTGTGACAACTCTAAGTCATCGCATCATAAGGATGCGATAACAGAAAACACTTTGATCAAAAACCCAAATTTTATATTCCAATGATTATGCCTCCCTTATCCTGGTATACACCTGTCCTTGATATGTCACCCTTATCCCAGTATACACCTCTCATTGATATGTCACCCTTATAACCAAAGTTACCTTTCCTTGATATATCACCTTATTTCAAACACATATTATAACATATCATAATCCCACAATTATGTTAATTAAAGCATCAAAACAGTTTTATAACATCCCCATAAAAATGAACCATATGGTTTTAATTTCATTTACCAAACAAGAAAAGTTTGTAAATAACTCACCTTATCAATCACAAAGAGATGAAGATACAAAGATGAATAGCAACAAGATTATCCAGACAATAATCACAGGACAGACTTTCCTTCTTCTATTGGTTATTTTCTTTGCCTCAGATCCAAAACATCCAGAAGTTTTTACCAACTTCTTATTCTCCCTTTTAAATCTCATCTTAATGAGTTAATATAATTATCTCATTATAATATCAATAATAAAAAGAGGCAGTGGCATAATTTAAAACATTTAAGCATATTAACCATAATAATCTCTTAACTTACCACCACTTTTCAAAAACAATCTTGAGCTTTATAACCGATTAACTAGGTTATCACATTATCCTCCCCTCAAAAGAATTCCATCCCGGAATCCATTCAATCAAACAGCTGAGGATATTTTGATTTCATTTTTTATTCTAGTTCCCAAGTAGCTTTTGGACCCTTATGGAAACGTTACTACACTTTCACGAGACTAATTTCTTTATTCCTTAAAACTCTTGTCTCACGGTCAGTGACGGCCTTAGGAGTTTCCATGAAATTCAACTTACTATCAACTTGCACCTCAGGTAGCGGTACTGCCAAATTCTGATCGGCCAAACACTTTTGCAGGTTTGAGACATGAAATTGTAAATAGTATTGAGTTCCTCAGGCAACTCCAATTGATATGCTATTAAACCAAACCACTTACATATTCTGAACTGCCCAATGTACCTCGGACTAAGCTTAGCTCTTTTCCTAAATCGAACAATTCTTTCCACGGAGAAACCTTTAACATTACGAAATCCCTTACCAGAAACTCAGTCGGTTTATGGCGTCTATCGACGTAACTTTGCTATCGATCCTGAGCTATTTTAATTCGTTCTCGTATCTGATCTATCTTTTCAGAGGTTATTTGAACGAGCTCTTGACCAGCCAACTGCTTCTCCCTCACTTCATTCCAACACAACGGGGTTCTGCACTTTCGGCCATACAAAACCCCATACAGTGCAACTTGAATGCAGAAATGGTAACTGTTGTTGTAAGCAAATTTAATCAAAGAAAGATGCTTTTCCCAAGATCCCCGAAGTCAATAATACATGCTCTTAACATATCTTCAAGGGTCTGAATTGTTCTTTCACTCTGCCCATTTGTTTGATGGTGATATGTCATACTCAATCTGATCTGAGATCCCATAGCTCTTTGGAAGCTCTCCCAAAACTTAGAGGTACATCTGTTGTCCCTATATGAGACAATTAACAAAGGAATACCAAGGCGAGTCACTATTTACTCAATATAAATCTTTGCAAGCCTTTCTAAAGGATAGTTCTCCTTAATTTGTAGAAAGTGCGTAGATTTAGTTAGACGATACACAATAACTCATATGGGATCATATCCCTTTGGAGTTCATGGTAACTTCATGATAAAATCCATTGTGATATGATCCCACTTCCATACGGGAATTTCCAAATACTATAAATTCCCATATGGTCGTTAATGCTCAATCTTCGCTTGCAGACACGTCAAACATCATTTCACATATTTCACAATATATTTCTTCAATTCTGGCCACCAATAACATTGTTTTAAATCTTTGTACATCTTATTAGTACCTGGATGCATAGAGTATCGTGATTTGTGACTCTCATCTAAAATCAGTTCACAGTTGTTCCCGAAATGTGGTATCCAAATTCTGTCTTGAAAACATAGAATCCCCTTATTGTTCTTTGTTAGGGTTGAGAATATTTCACCACCTCTTTCGACTTTAAAGTTCTCTTCTTTGACGGCTTCACATTAAATGGAAGTATCAAATTGATTGATGCTAGTTAGCTTCATGCGTCTAAAGATCAAAACAGAAAAGATCTTAAAGGCATGATTATGTATGTGAATATGATTTGAATGTAAAAGAAAAAATGAAAAAGTAAGAGATATAAAACAAATTGAATAAATAATTGTAAGGGTATAAAATATAAATATTAAAAATAATTCATAAAATTTATATATATTTATGATATTTAATAATATGATTGAATAAACTATATTTCACATTGGTCTCATTTTAAAGGTATTGGCTAGACTATTATAATGGTGCAATATGTAAAAAAAATATTTCTATCCTTGACTTTTCAATAAGGGGCGCGTTGCAGGGTTTGGTGGGTCGAGATTGACTTGAATGAAGTATTTTTTTTATACATGATTATGTATGTTAATAAAATAAGGGCATAAAAATGAAAAATTAAAAAATATAACCAAATTAAGTAAATAAATATAATGGTAAAAAGTGTAAATATTAAAAACAATTTTGTAGTATTTGTTTTATAT